GCCAGGTTTATAGCATACTTCAAAGTCGTACTCGGCCAGCTGCGCTACCCAGCGCTGCTCAACTGCGCCAAGATTAGCTGAGTAGAGGTACCGTAGCGGGTTATGGTCAGTAATCACAGTGAATTTTGAATACATAAGGTATTCTCTAAATTTTTCTGTGATCGCCCACTTTAATGCAAGCAGCTCCAACTTGAATGCACTATAGTTTTTGTCATTCTTCTCTGAACCTCTTAGTCCTCTGCTTGCGTATGCCACCACATGCACAATCCTCTCCTGCTTCTGGCTGAGGACCGCTCCCAGTCCGTGACGACTTCCATCAGTGGTAAGTCTAAAGGGCTCACTGAAGTCGGGATATGCCAGAATTGGTGGGGACATTAAACACCCTTTCAACTCGTCCAACGCGGTCTGGCATTCTTGGCTCCAAGTGACTGTTACTGGGGTCTTGCTTCTCTTTCCTCCACTTACCAATGCATGTAGTGGTTTGGCAATTTGAGCAAACCTTGGGACAAATCTTCGGTAATAGCTCATAAAACCAAGCACTTGCCTGACTTCTCTCACATTTCTGGGAACTGGCCATGTGTCCAAAGCTTTAACTTTCTCGTCATCCAGTTTTATGCCTTCTGCGGAGATCTGGTGCCCTAAGAACTTTACTTCTGGCCTTAGAAGGAAGCACTTGCTTGGCTTTAACTTCAGACCATGTTGTCTTAGCCGGTTAAAGACAAGTTCTAACCTCTCACAGTGGCCTTCAAAATCTCTGGAGAAGATAATGACATCATCCAGATAGACCAGAAGAATGTCGAAGGCCAAGTCACCCAGCACCACACCCATCAGGCGCTGAAAGGTGGCCGGAGCGTTGCACAACCCAAACGGAATCCTGGTCCACTCAAACAGCCCAAATGGGGTGGTGACGGCTGTCTTCTCCCTATCTTTCTCACTCACAGCCACCTGGAAATACCCAGCGGTCAAATCCAGTGTAGAGAACAGTTTGGCGTTGCCCAACGCATCCAAGGACTCATCCACCCGTGGAAGCGGATAAGCGTCCTTATACGTCACTTGGTTCAGCTTTCGATAATCGCAGCAGAAACGCACACTGCCATCTTTTTTCATTACGATAACTGCGGGTGATGCCCAGGGGCTGCTGCTCTCTTTGAGGATTCCCTGGGACACCAGGTTCTGGACATGCCTTTTGACTTCTTGAAATATCTGTGGTGGTACTCTACGATGACGCTGTTTTATCGGTGGTGCTTCGCCAGTAGGGATATCATGCACCACAGCTGTGGTGTAACCATAATCTTGGTCATCTCTGGAGAAGACATCCCTGTGTTTTGATAACAACTCGATGAGTCTTTCACATTGTGCTGGTGTGAGACCTTCATAGTTTACTTCAACTGGAACTGGTGGCTGCATGAGTAAGTTCTTATCAGCCTGAACTTTGTCTTCCTTTAATTCTTTGACATGAAGTACACCGTCATCTTCCTCCAATTCAAGAACATCCTTTGTGACCACCTCTTTTGGCTTAAAAACAGAAGCCACTCTAGATCGGGGTGCAATTCTAATGGTCTTTCCACTCAAGTTCAGCATACGCACAGGGACCTTTCCACAGTCTGTTTTAGCAAGAACGTGAGCCACTAAGAGTCCTTTCGGCAAACTTGTGCCAGCTGCAGGTTCCACTAGCACATTACTCTTCACCCTAGGTGACACTCCACAGCGGCCCTCAAGTACCTTCTCACAGTGGGGAGGAATAGTGACAGCTTGTCTTCCAGCAATCTTAACATACCCAATCCTTCCGTCAGGCCCTAGATGTCCCGCTTCCTTCTCAACTCTAGCAAGTACCCTCCGGACTTGAGCTTCATCTCGCTGACTATACTTGTCTACCTTTTCCATCCCCTCCGTTGAGATGAACAGAGACTGCACGTCATTGAGTATATTCATACCGATGATCCCAGACACTCCTTTCATTTCCTTGACGTCGGGACTTGTGTCAGTCAGAACGAATATACACTTCCTAGGAAGCACTTTTCCCAGACATTCTACATCAGCCTGTAAGCAACCTAAGACAGGAATGTCTAGTCCATTGGCCGCTGTCAGTTTAACCCAGCATGCAGAGGACAACTTAAGCTTTTGCTCCCCAAAGTGCTGTCTGAAGTGTGACTCGGAGATAGTGGACACCTCTGACCCTGTATCTAAGAGGCACTTGGTCTTGACACCGGCTATCTTCACCTCAACAGTGAGACAATCCCCAAAAGCACTATCCTTCAGTTTTTCAGCGGTCTCATCAGCCAGCCATTCTGCTGTGTGACATATAATCAACGAGGGCCCTGGGCTTTTCTGTACTGCACCTCCCAAGTCTTTCTCTGTAACTTCAGCTGACTCCACTATACACTGTGGTGGAGTTGGTCCCCTCCCAGACTTGCCACCTTGTGGACAATAGCGACTGGTGTGTCCGGGTTCACCACACGAATAACAAATATAACGGCCTTCACTGTCTTTTAATGGTAGTTTCTTTGGACGGCTCTGCTGTGGTCTATTCCTTTCTTTTGCATGAACGATTTGATATAATTCCTCTTGACGAGCAGCTATTTTCTGAATTGCTTCATGCAACTTCTCTAAAGACAGAGTGGAGGGAGCATCCTGTGCTGCAGCAGCATTTACTACCCCTCTGGCACGGGTACTGGGCCTGACATTAGTAGAAGGCTGTGCTTCCTCCTCTTCTGACCAGGTAATTGCCGCTTGCATCAACTCCACGAAACTCAAATCTGGCTCAGCCTTAATTCTGCGCTTCATCTCTCGACGTAAGAAGTCATCTTTTAGGCCTAGCACCAGTTGCTCTTTCAAAACCTTTTCAGCATCTGCCACTCTAGCTGGCTCTCGGCGCTGAACACGATTAAGTCTTTCCCGAAGGTCATATGCATAGGAGCGTATTGTTTCTCCTGTATTCTGAGCACGATCGTAGAAGTCTTTCAGCCTTGTACCAATGGGCACTTTATCTCCATAAGTGTCAAGGAGAACAGTGAAGATGTTGTCAACAGATTCCTCTTTTCCGTCCATCATGAACTTCACTGTGGCTTTGGCCTCATCTTTTAGGTGCTGTTTCACCAGCTCAACCCGGTCCTCAGTGGGCACCCTCATGACTTGAAATGCAGACTTCATTGATGCCACCCATTCTTCAATATTCAGCTCTCCTGGTTTTGATACGCAACCAGTGAAATCAGGGAGCTTTCGGTCTCTAGGGATATAAATGGCAGCTGGGGTCGTTTGCGCATAGGCCTGGCTCTCAATTACCACCTTTGCTAAGGATAGGGCTTCTCTCTGCTCCACCCTGGATTGGTCAAGTGCCCCTGCCTGCTCGGCAAACCTCCTCTGCATCTCTGCCATCTCTTTTTTTAGTTCCTCCAGTTCAGACATCTTCTTACTTGACAACAAACAACTTGTGCGTCATTTTAACAGCCAACACATACCACTAGAACCAAACTGACAAAAAAAACTCCTTTCTGCTATGAACTGCGGTTCACTGTCTACACTTTCACTTAGTGCTGTCGTCCTTTATTCGACTTAAGCCTCGATAATCTTCCGTTGAAGCAACTTTATCGAACGAGCTTCTCGATCAAGAGTTGTTGTTTTTTTCTATTTAAAAAGTGTACATTGCTGATGCTTTTGCAGAGATGTTACATGTATGTATGGCCTACGTTTGGATTGATGCTAAGAGTTTAAGACTGTATTTGTATGCATTTTAGAAGGACTCTTTATCGGTGAGGTCACCACATCATGGTCCAGTTTGAATTTTCGACGTGGGACCATAGTCTGGACTATTTTTGACTGTTCCTGGTTAGGAAGATTCTGGTGTTTGAGAGCTGTGGCGTGTTTTCATTACAAGAGGTTGGATTATTCATTTGTTATCAGCCAACTTCAGCTACGGAGTGTTTGGACATTGATGTACTACAGATAAAGCATTTGATTTAAGTCTGAACTGTTTTTTAAAAAGTTCTGTAACTCTATCATGACTTACCCGCCAGTGAGCAAGCAGTGTGTTTATGATGAACTGCTTCACTATACAGGGAGTGAACTGAGATGCATCTCTTTTGTTGCTCATGTGTGGAGGTGCTTTACTGTAAAAAAGCTATGTTCATTACTGTTATTAAATAGATCATAACATTACATTCAAAATAATTTATTCATTTTCTCTATAAAACTATCTGAATGGGTTGTATTGATTTAAACTCTTTAAAAGACGTGGGACCATAGTCTGGATTATTTTTGACTGTTCCTGGTTAGGAAGAGTCTGGTGTTTAAGAGGTGTGGTGTGTTTTCATTACAAGAGGTTGGATTATTCATTTGTTATCAGCCAACTTCAGCTATGGAAAGTGTTTGGACATTGATGCACTACAGATAAGACTTTCGCACACAAAATAATGCAATCTTACATTGCTTTCTTTCTTTTTGTGTGTGTACTTTTGTGTATTTACATTTCTGGCTATATGTAGCTGTATTAACCTGAATTCAGGGACGTGAGAAGTAGGGGTGCTGAGGGGGCTGCAGCACCCCCTGTTTTCACATGGTTGCAAATGCAATGCCAAGTTTGTTCATTTAAATTTATTCAGTTTTAGCATTTAATAATTTATTTGTAATGATCTCTGAAATGTAAATTGTAAGTGGGCTATAATAAACCCATGTTTATCTTTATAAACATGATTAATTTTACTTGAGATGTTTTCTATATGGGATGATTAGCCTAATCCTCATGAACACGTGACGCTAGCGCGTGGTATCAGACATGAACTGTACAGAATGCGAACAAGATTAACTTTAATACAAGGAGATAATGGCGCAAAAGAGAATTTCAGATTTTTTTAAATGCCCATCCCAGCAAAAACTTTCCAAAATCGGCATCCAAACCTGCCTCCCCCAAACCTGTCATGTTGTCATGAGGGCCTATAATGACCTCTTTAGCATATACAGATGCTGACCGGTGATTTTAATTTTGCATGCGTCAGCTACTAATCACGTTTAATTCAATCAGGCTTTGACCTGAATGACTACGGAAGCATTTATAATGTCTATGTGACCGTGGATTCTATGCTTTAGCTCAGAACCACTGGTTTTCACAAAGAGATAAAGTACATATGTATGTTTACATTTGATACATCGTAATACAGCCATTTATTTTAATTTAGGAAATTATTGTACTAACATGTTTTGCACCCCAAGTCTTCAGTAACCTTGCTAACTTTTGGGTTGCATACATACTTGGCAATCTATTAAATATCCTCCGCACGTATATGTGCTTGTTTCATAATGATATTTTGTACTTTGCACTTTGTAACACAGAAATTTTCAGTTTGACATACTGAATGAATTTCAATACGGTCAGCATATAGAAACCCTGTGATATTGTTTTTACAAGATTAAATGCCTGAATATCAAGCATTTAGTGCTAAATTTGCTGATTTTATTTTTATTCATTTTTTTTTGCCAGATTCTGAATTTTACATAGTTTTCATAAGGAACTACAGAAAAATATTCTATACAGGGCTGTACAGGGCTGCTACGAAAAAACGGGTCTGTGCGATGAATAAATTTACCAGCGTGCGATACAGTTTTGCATGTTCATAACACAGCTGCTTAATAGTGTGAAGTGATTTCGTTGTGCTTGTTTGTGTGTGTGAGATTGATTATACTTGGTAGTTAGGGGTGTGCGATATGAAGATTTTTGATCGTGGACGATTAAAATGTCTCCACGATCTGCTTTTGAAGAAATAACGTTGTATCGTGCTACAGCGCACATTCTATCAGCTGCAGTTCTGGCGCCACCCTCCGTCTCAATATAATCTACAACGCCACATGCATTCATTCACATCAGTGTTAACTCAGCGGTAGTTACTCTCACGGGACACTGCACTTATGCGCAATCACAAAACTACATTATTTCCATCTGCTTTAAAGCAATACCAGTTAAACATTTAATTCACGTGCTGTTCTGCATGCGCTTTTCTGAGCGGTACTCATGAAGCCCGCTCACACTGAGAGCCTGTCAAAAAGCGCCTGATTATTGGACTAAGTTGTCTTTCGCGTCTGATTGTGAAAAACACACAAGGTTTACATATAAACAGTTGGTTATGTCTAAAATGAAAGTAAACAGTTGAGAGAGAAACGCGTGCAGCTCTTAAAGGGACAGTAGCTACTCAACATGCTGCCACCTGTCATTAAAGGGATAGCTCACCCAAAACCTGTATTAATTTCTTTGTTTGTGCTGAACACAAAAGACGATATTTTGAAGAATGTGAGTAACCAAACAGTAGCTGGTTCACACTAATGTCTGCCATTCTTTTTTTAATTTATATTTTCTTAAGGTGTAAGAGGTGTTATGTTTCTGCACTCTTCCATTTTTAGCAAATTAAGAAAACTTTGTCTAAAAACAATTTTTGTGATGGTTTGTATTTTTTGTGCTCTGTATGGAACATCAGTGCCTGTTTAAGTGATGAACTCCATTACTTGTGTTTGTTTTCAGACATGATAACAGACGTTTTATACTTGTGCTACAACTTTTTGGCCTGTGCTACAAAACTTTCAACCTCTGTAGCACCAGTGCTATGTGAAAAAAAAAATTACGTACAGCCCTGCTATAATACATGTACTGTTTTATAAAAAAATACAATAAAATAGTTATCTGTTCAAGTGATGGCTTTCACATGAGTAATGAGAGGTAGAAGGGTAAAAAATACTTCAAATCTGGATTGTGGGTCCCCCTGCTGGTTATATAGGGGTAGAGCTTTTATTTTATTTTACCAACTAAATAAATTTATATTCTATTTATTGTTATTTTATTTTTTATGTGTGTAGAAGGGTATGCATGTGTATAATGTAAGCAGCACGATAGATAGATAGATAGATAGATAGATAGATAGATAGATAGATATTCCACCCCTTGAAGACAAGTTTTTTTTTTTTTCTCTAAACAACAACCTTAACATCCTGAATGACAATTCAAAATCCACACAAAACCCGGCACATCTGCCCAGCATACTCTCCTGTGCAGGTTGTGTTTGGCCATTGTGCTGTTTGGCGTGACAGTGTGGCATTATTCTAGGTTTTGTGTGGGTCTGTATTGTTCTCCTGTGGGCTGCTTTGTTAAATGAGGGGGTATAGTGGTGATGCTGCAGGGCATTGCTTTATGCTGACTCTGACCTGTGAGAATGGTAGGGAGTGATATGGCCCTATGACTAGGCCACAAAGAGAAGGAAGGAGAAGGAGAGAGGAACAGCATCTACAACGTGCATCCCAAGAGAGCATCGATTTGGAAATGGACTAAAATACTACTGGATTAAAGACTCATCTGTTCAAGTCCAAGTGTAGTCATGCAGGAGAACCCAGGCTCTATAGGTGTGGATGGAGGATACGCCAGCAATGTACCTGCTTTCCTCACTAAACTCTGGACTCTTGTGGAAGACCCAGAGACCAATCATCTGATTTGCTGGAGCACTGTGAGTTCACCCTGATGGCATCGTTTGGTTGATTTATAAATGATGATAGATTATGGGTATAATACATTATGTATAAAACATTGTGATAAATTGCGTAGATTTCAAATAGAAAGAAACTCACTGTTGTGGATCTCTGATTAGAGATATAAGACTTTGATTAGGCAGAGCATCAACAAAAGTTATGTAAGTCAGGGATTTTTGAAAATTTTGGCAAAAACATCCAAATATGATAATCCTATTGCAATGAAATGGTAGCGATGTATTTCTATTTGCATATATAAAGACCCTTTTATATTGTGTGTGTGGGGAAAACATAAGCATAAACATGTTGCTTTCTAAATTAAATGACTGGATATTATTTGAAAATTTCTACAAATAAAACGATATACTAAAATACTAGAAAATATTTACTTAGTTGACAGTGTATATGCTTTACAATAAATATTTGTTCTATTTCCTAAACATCAGAGAAACATTTTCAGAAATGTATATGTTGCATATATAATTTTTTCTATCAACATTTCTCTCAATTTTTCTGGGAACCCCAATGAAGCTCTATGAGAGCACTGGGTTTCTTTGATATTGTAATTTGGAATAGAAAAAAAAGATTTATTGTAAAACTGATATAGTGTTACCTAAGCAAATATTTTACAATGTTTTTATCATGTAAGACATTATAATAAGGTCCCATTAGCAGCAATACATTGTTACAATATTATATTGTTAGTTAATGAAAGTTTTCATTGTTAACTATCCATTGTTATTTCATGTTAGCTCAAATCCATTAAATAATATAATCTACACAACTTTTGATTTTAATAATGTATTAATAAATGTTGAAATTAACATTAACTAAGATTAATAAGTGCTTTAGAGGTATTTTTCATTGTCAGTTCATGTTAGCAAATGCAGTTAATATTATCAAAG